CCAGAGAGTTCAACCGAGCAGAATTCACTCTCTCACAAACGGGATGCACCTGAGCCCACTGGAGCAGGTAGAGCTTGTATACCGCAGATTTCAGACAATGGTCCATTTTCATTATTAAGACATGACATAGGATACAAATTATCTTATCTCTTGGTCACAAGTCATGACACCTCTTTTTTTGGGTAGGACATCACAAGAAGATCCGGGTGAACCAACGTCTAGTTGAGACAGACCTTCAAGCAAGTATACCTGGATGCTCAACTAACAACAGCCTACCCTGCAGTCCTTTACAAGTTGACATCAACCTGGCCGCACCTTAGTCCAGATGAGCATCTTTATTTTGCTTTCAGCATCAACTTTCACGCTGTATGTAACACTGGATCAGCAGCCCTCATGTCATCAGAGATGTCCGTTGTCTTCGTAGCATAGTGTCTTAGGCTTTCATCACTAACTTGCACGATATATGTGAACTCTGATTGTTCACGGCTTAGGTTGCTGCATACTGTCTTAAGCGATCGTTTGGTGCGCATTCTCTAGGGTCCCAAAGAAATTCCCGATAATGCTGTAAACTCTAGCCAGGCTAACATGTTTCTCCCTGAGTTGCTTAACCAATTAAGTCTTTTGTGCAATTGCCAATGTCCCGGTGAGATTGCTAACACAACACCTCTCCACAAGTTTTGGACATGGTCCGCATGATTGAGGCTTATTCTGTGTTCACTAATGTACTTACTGTCCATTATCATTGTACCTATCTTTATATTCTTTTCGGTCTCAACACCTCCAACTCCAAACCAAGTCGTGTGTGAAAAGCTAAAGAACACCGGTTTGTGAAGGCTTTCAATTACCATTTTGTGGGAGTTGGTATCTACATTATTTTAATCTTGGGGCTGCACAGTTTAGACATGATGTTATATATATTGGCCCATTAGGTATAAATCAGCACCCCGCAAAAAAAAGGTATAAATCAGCACAAGTCACAGTTGCTTGAAAGTGTTGTTAAGATATGAAGTTCCATTGTTATTATTTCTTCTTACACATCCGGCACTACAACACCACCATCATGAAATGTTCATTCCTAGCTGGTTCAGGCATAGCTGAATGTGGAAGAAGCCAGATATGCCACAGCTAAAACTGCAGAGCTCAACCTCAGGCATAATATAAGCACCGGTGCTAATTATTTAACAAGGCAACAGTTTTGGCATGATGACAGCAGAACCGTGACTTTCCCTATAAAAAGCACGATGCATATTATGCTTATTCCTTGTTCTTGCCTTAAGTTGGATCATCATTCTGGGTCAGCTCCTCGGCAGGCAAGATAATGATGTGTGAGACTGGGACTACATTGAACACAAAAATACAAGGACTTAGATGCTTAGGATGCGCAGATCGGCGGGCACGAGCATTTTGTTGAGTAGGCTGAAAGTAGGTCAGGAAACACAAGTGAAGAGATGAACTTTTGTTTTAATTGAGTGAAGAGATGAACTTGGCAAAACATATCATTGCAAGTTGACTTCAACATTGCCATCTTTAGTAATGAAAGACATGTTGTCAAGCTTCAAGCAATGAGAATGGGACAGCATACTTTGTAGAGCTAAGAGCTGCATGATCAGGATATCCACTTATTTTACAGTATAAGGAGCACAGATCATTCAACTATACATCTTATTATACTAAAAAGTAAAAAACAGAATACTGAAAGCATAAGCTGAAGTTTGCATCTAATGGGCATTAGTATGGATACCTGTAGTTTTGGTCGAAGGGCTTCAAGGGGTCCTTTAGGCTTGTTGGGACTTCCACCTTGCTGCAGCAAACAAACGAAGAAGTAAAACTGTTACAATTGCATTTCTTATTTAGTTTCTTTGAGTTGTAGATATCACACTAGATTAGCTTTTCAAAAGATTCCAGGCTTACCTTTCCTAAAGCCCAATCAGCAGAATCAAAGAATGCCCGCTCATGGTCCTGATATTTCAAATTGAGGTTATACCATTTTAATTTGAACTAAAAGTTAATTATACACCTGTGTTACTTTATATAAAGGTTGCATAATTTAATCTGAAAGGGAAATGAAGACATTATAAGACAACGGCATTGACCTTTGATATAAGTGATGACTTTTTGGGCATTTTTCCTCCATATTTTTTCTTGATTGCTGCCTCCTGTGAGTACCCATACAAGTTTGGAACAAAGATAACATGAATAATATACACCCCAGAGGCCAAGACCACCCCCAAGAAAGGGTACCAGGAAAAGACAGTACCTCCTCCTGTGGCGAGGGCATGCCACTGCCTTCATTCTGATCTTGAGTTTCTTCTACCTTTTCACCAGAAACTTCTCCTTCAGGCCTCACTTCAGCACTTGCATCATCAGATGACATTCCAGACATAGTGAAATTAAGTTGCCAGAGAGGAGTTAAATTTTGTGAATTATAATCCGCATTCATGGTACAAACCTAAATTGTTTACAGTAGACAACATATGAACAAAAGGGAGAGAACATAGAAGTGTCTTCATACGTCACCATGAATATTTATTGTGCTATGTTGGTGGGAATTTCAAATGCACACAGCAAACTGATCAGATCAAATGGCTTAATAATACACTTAGTCAAAAGCAGCTTAAGATCCACCCGCGTAAGTCTGAACATATCTCTTTATCGGAAAAAAAAAAGTCTGAACATATCTGTTTTACGAGCAAAGTCGATGCGTCATATTCTTTCAAACTTTCACGCCTTCATTGTTACTGCAAGGCCCAAACAGCTTATATGGTTCACACCTTGTTGATGCTTTGTCCTAAATCCTAATTCAGATAAGGGAATTGCAGCATTTGCACTATATATCTATCATCAACAGCAAATGGAATTCAAGGCACCTACTTCGCGTTACAAATTCCCACATTACTCAGAGAAAAAGAGAAAACCCCCAAATATTCAGAAAACTAACAATTCCATGTCCTGCAGAATTAGCTGACCTATATGTGTAGGCATAGGTTAACAGGTTATGATGGTATACAACAATAGATTAATTATACTCCCTCCGTCCCAAAATTCTTGTCTTACATTTGTCTAGATACGGATGTATCTAACACTAAAACGCGACTTCATACATCCGTATGTAGACAAATTTAAGACAAGAATTTTGGGACAGAGGGAGTATGAAAGAAGAGGGCCATAAATTTGAATTATACACAAAATCAGTTAGCACACAGGTAAACAGAGAAGTTATTTGTTTTCCCCTAAAAAAAACCAGAGCGGTTATTTATGACGTTAAAGAACAATAAATTTTTTAGGAAAGAAGTTCCATACAACTAAACCAGAGCCCCTTACAATTGAACCAGCTTAGGAAAGAATATGCATGCATCTCAATAAGTACTACGCTGATCTTGATACATCAAATGCAAGAAGAAGTTGTAAGCTGGTCTTGATCAACCTTTTGTACACCACTTTTTTTTTGCTGGGACATGCTAGATTATTATAACGTACTCTATAGTAATTATATTGGAGAAGTTGTATTTTTTATGGGAAGATGATATGAAGGTGTAAATTAGTTCTGTAGGAAAAGACACTTGTATGGGTCAGAGTATGGACAGATTATTAGTTCGAAAAATGCAAAGTCTGATGCAAGAACTTGACTAGTTATTATTTCAACAAGAAGGAGGAGAAGTTCCAAGCTTCACGGGATCATTAAATCATAAACTGCCATTGCTCTTCCACCTGCGCAGTATGCCTGCCTTAATCAGGGGCCTATCCGGGCGGGAACGAGAGAATCCGCACCAGCGCGGGTAGAAGCTATCGCGACCTGGATTAGCTGCTCCGCCCTGCACCCTGATATATGGAGCGAGGGATCAACAACTACTGCCAAGGTTCAGATGATCATTGACGCCGCTGCACCGGCAGCTGGGAGAGGCACCAAATCCATGATCGCACTCATCAGCTGGCTGATCTGGATGGAGAGGAACGCCTATGTGTTCAAAGGAAAGCTGCCGAGCGCGGACAACACCATCAAGGCCTGCCGCTGCGACATGGAGCAATGGAGGATAGCTGGAGCTGCATGCTTAGAGTATAACCTTTCGGGCATGTAGCGTGAGATATCGGCTTGATACTTCACTTCTTTCTTTGTTGGTTTCTCTTCATCACCCACCGATCACTTGATCAAACAACTCTGTCCCTCTCTTTCTGCTAAGCCAATGAAAACCAGCAATTGCTGGCCAGTTCCAAAAAAAAAGAAAAAAAGCTACGGCGAATCGACAGGCACGCGGACGCGGAGGAAGAGGGAGCCATGGGATATACCGGACGGGGAGGTGGCGTGGAGCGGGACGGGTAGGGGAGTCGCAGACGATCGGAGCTGAGATGCCACCAACACCAAGCCCAAGGGTGGGAAGGAGAATGGAGAGTCGCGGGCGCGGGGCAAGGAGAGGTGGTGGCAGTTCGATATACACGCTGCGTGCGGATCTGCCATTCTGCCCATCTCATCTGGTCCGGTCCCCGAACAAAGACGACAGCGTGAATCAATCCCCTGCTTTATTATACGTACTACTCGCGTTGCGGGAAAGCTATTTCAATTTTGGCCTTTCTCTCTTCCATCGATCGACAGACAGACATGGGTGAATTCTACTACGAGTAACATCTATACTACGTAACAACCCAGAAATGGAAACGATATAGGATCTTACTACAAATAATGTCATGGTTTTTCGAGTTTTGCACGAAACAAATACACATGAATCTGCTAGCGTTGCTCTTTTGAAGCTTCGTGGAAATTCTGCAAGATACAAATGGATTTTGATTTACATCCTATTTGTTGGAGTTTTTCTGCAACTTCGTTATGAATTGTGCTGCGTTTTAGAATTTACAGCGATTTCAGATGTTGGGTTTACGTGTAAAGCAAATTATCATCCACGAAGCGTAAGAAATCACCATGTTGCTGTTTTATTTTTATTTTGGACTTTGATATATACCAAACGTTCGTACCTACAGTATAGGTCCGAACGATCCCTCCTTCACGAGGCCGAGCGCTCGTAGCGCGCGAGGCCGAGCCGTCGAGCGGAGGCAATCGCGAGGCCCATCTCAGCGCCCCTCATGTCATCACGGACCACCTCCTCCCCCTAAAACCCAACTTTCTTATCTCCACAGCAAGAAAACGCAACACACACTCTCCATTGACCCTCCTCTTCCTATTCCTCTCTCCCTGGCGACGAACTCAACCATTCATCTCCGTCCTCTACCCCCCCTCCCCCCGATTTGACCCAGCAATTGCTTCACAAAACATGCAATACACTTGAGGAAACTGAAATTACCACAGTATCTCGACTTGATCTACCACCGGGGACACAAGAACTCACCAAGCGTCCAGAATCCAGCAAAAATCATCGCGAAATCATGCAAAAACGCTTGGAGGGCTCAAGTTACCACCTGATCTCGACTTGATCTACCACAAGGGACACCAGAACTCACCAGGCATCCAGAATCCAGCAAGAATCCAGGTGGATCAGGTACATCTAAGCACTCCCTACTGTATCTGAATTCCATTTCAGTTCAACCCAAAAAAGCCCCATGAAAAAAGGAAGAAAAAAGTGCCATTTTTTTCCTAATTTATTGTACAATGTGCATAGAAGCTAGCATGACAGAATACATGAGTTATCAGGGCATATGCAAAGATTTTTTCTTGAAAAAAGACAATTCCTTTTCAACTTATTTGCACAAAAAACAGTGAAATTAGGCTACAAAAAATACTTTTTGTATGTAAAATATGAAGTCACAACACCATAACAGAATCCACTCTTGTTACAATTAGGCTATAATTGTTGTGTAGAGAAAGCTACCACATTTTTTCATACAAAAGTTATCATCAGTATTGTCATCTGTTACCATGCCATCATGGTGCATCTATGCAAAAAGCTACCATCAAAAAAAAACTTGAACTAAAATTTTGAAGCAGGGAATGGTGTGCCGAGTATAGTAGAGTCCCGAGTGAGTAACAAATTGTTACCTGCAGAAAAAATGATAATATCCATGTCAACTCAAAAAGAATCACAAAAAAAGTACAAAAAGATAGCATGCACCATGTGCAAAAATGTGATTGATGTATGTAAACAACAGTGTTATTTTTAGTTGTCTCACATATGCTATTAACATGTGTAAGCAGGTGCTTCAACAACATGTCGGAAAACCATGGATATAACATAAATGCCACAGATAGTGCTGGACAAGAGAAACAACATGATGATGATGCACGTACGACTAGCTTTGCTTCTGGTAAGTGGCAACTCACTTACAAAAGTGTCACACTGTATGTTTATGTTGGAAGCAGAATGTTATCATCACAGCATACTACAAGTTACCACAACTGTTCAATACAAGTTACCACCAAACAATGAGAAATCATGTTATGACAAAAACATTTCATATGAAAAACATGCAGGTGCTCCACCTACATATAACCAGAGGATCCATGGGCCAAGCAAGGAAGCAAGTTCTAGTGTTGGGGGAGAAGAAAGGTTCTTTGATGTGTCGGTCAGCGAGCCAGCAAGTCCAAAAACAGGAGCGCTCAACGCTAATCAAGGAGGAGTTAACGCTGAGGCATATTTCACACCTAAGGCTCCTGATACAACAATGAAGTTTGAAAGTTTTGAGGAGGCTGTTGCTCACTACAAGCTATATGCACTCAGAAATGGATTTGGGACAAGGATAGAGTACACAAGAACACTGAAGGGCAACACAGTGAGAAGAGCACTACTGGTGTGTGGGAAAGGCGGCAAGCCAAAGAAGAAGAAGGAGGAGGTGCAGGACGTACTGAACCCAGAAGGCATCGTGAAGAAGAGAAAAAGGCGTAAGGTTAAGAGGTCTGAGTGTCCAGCCCACCTTTACCTTACGCACAAGGATGCATGATGGAGAGTCGAACGCTTTGATGACAACCACAACCATCCACTGATAAGAAAGCCATCTCTGACAAAATTTCTAGCCTCACATAGGAACATTCCCAAAGACGAGCAAGATTTCTTACGGATTCTACATGAATGCAACATAGACACCGCAAGGCAAATGCAACTAATTTCATGGTTCTATGGTGAGTTGAGAATGTACCATACACAACACAGGACCTTGCGAATCAGCGAGCCAAGTTTCACAAGGAGTACCGTAATGCAGACGTGGGGAGCACAATTGCATACTTTGAGGAGCTCGGGGCAAAAGATCCAGATTTCTATTGGAGAATGAAACTTGATGATGAAGACAGGGTGGAAAACGTGTTCTGGATAGATGGTGCATCACGTAGGCAATACGCAAAATACAACAACATTGTGTCTTTCGACACAACGTACATGACTAATATGTACAAGATGTCGTGTGCCCCCTTCATTGGCATTAACAACCACGGGCAATCAATCCAAT